ATATACAGTATTAAGATATATTCGGTACGTGAGCGTAGTTGTAGTTAAATATGAGAAACGTATTTAAATAAAATAACATAAGTTTGTAATATGTAATAGTGTTATCACACAATACCTTTTAAAAAATTAAATAGTATAATGTAAAATGCATAAAAAAAGTTATTATTTATATTAATAATTGATGATACTGGTGATGCTTGTAATTATAACGATAATAGTGATGGTAACAGTAATAATAATAATGAAATAACAATAAGAATGAGAATAATGTATTAGGATTGATGATGTCGATCATCAAAAATAGTGATAACGAAAATAACAATGCTAATAATGATAATGATAGCGGAATTGAGGTAAAATTGATAACAATAGTAGGCAATGGTTGTAATTATGATAGTTAAGGTGATAATAATGATGATAGAATAACAGCAACGTTGATTAACAACGATGGTAATAAATGAGTAATAATAGCACGTGCAATAAGAATATATGTGACAATAGTTATGAGATAATAATATTAGTCAAAGTAAAATGACGAAGATAGAGTGGTAACATTTATCAATAAAACAACAACAACAAAAAAAATAGTGATAGAGTAACTGTGATAATAACGTCAGCACTTGTGGGTAGTAGTGGTAGTAACGCTGACAATGATAATAGATGTTTTAATAATGGTGATGGGATGTTGATATTGATGGTAGTAATACTCTCATTAGTGAATAAATATAAAAAAAAATTATAAATGATTATTTTAATTTTTAAAAAATATTATTTAAATATATAATACTTATTTATGTCTCGTATAATAAATAAACATTCTATATACATAATTTTTTATTAAAAAAAATAAACAAATATAATAAGTAATTGATACTCAAAAATAGTCCAAGTTGTGTCACAAGCATCCATACAGTGATGGCCATAGAGAGCACGCAAAGCCTTAAGTTGTTTTAAACTGTCAATCAGAATGTGGCAAGCTCCACAAACCAACAGATCAGGACAACCATTTCTCTCATAATAAATATGAGATATCTAAACTTCTTAACCGAGATATAGAATATTTTTCTAATATGGTTGGCAAGGTAGACCCTAGTTAATATCAATATTACACACAAAACCCTTCACATAGTTACCATAATAATCCATAACGAGGGCACCACCACCAACAAAACCAGAGTCAAAACAAACATAGACATTCATGTTAAACTCCAACCACTCAAAGAGTGAGGCCTTTTAACCCACATAAGGATATTTACTCAGGTCATTTTTAGCATCATGACGATGACGCGATCATAATTTTTTTTACTAATTTTTTTTGGAGAAAATTATTTATTGGTATTAATTTGTAACATAAACTGTGAGATGTGATTATTTTATATTCTTTAATATTATATATTTACAAAATTTATGTTATTTATTGGTCTTTATTATATGAAATACCGATAATAATTCTATAATCTTGCTCAACTTATAAAATAAAAAAATAAACTCCAGCTACATATTAATTATTGAATGCTAAATATTTAATTAGTAATAATTTGTATATCTTATTATCTATTAAGATACATCATTGTCATTATAATTTTTTGTTTTGAAATATATTTTGAGCTTAATTCATATTATTTTAAATATAACTTTTGTCATATAACTAAATACAAAAGAAATCCTAAATTTATTTTGAAAAAACCTAAAATTTTAGAATATTAGAATTTTGACGTCATATATAATATCGGATGGGTAAAACCCGATCCGAACTGGAACGAAAAAAGCAATATCACTACAAATTCCTACTTCTACGTAATTTTCAAAACCGAAACCCTAGTCATTACCAGTGCCAACTTAATATTTCCTGACCAGCACAAGGCATGAACGGTGAATTCTCGGTTCATTACACTTGATAGAGGGGGCCCCAAAAATCAGACTTGCTGAACCCGGTATGTTTATTATGTCCTATAATTGATAGTTCATTGAAGGTTATTCATTAATTTTTATTCGGGCCCTTTTCATTCTGGCATTTTGGAAATGCTAGCTGATTCGGTATGCAGACAGGAAACTGTAATGTAGTGTGCATTTGTAGGTAAAGAAACTTTTGTTCAATTTGATAATTATTTTTTGGTTCTGTCATTTTAGGAGCTAGTTTTTCTTTTTCCCAAACCATAATTTTGTGGCTAGTTAAATTTTATTGGAAATGGGATTGTTTTTTATGACTGCTTAAAGATCTTAGTCGCTGAATATTGTATTTAACAACGTAATTCAATTATTTCTTTTTCTTTTTTCCTTCTTCCGGTTTAGTTATTGTTAAAAGAATCTAGAGATTTTCTGAGGTGGGAGTGTTATTGCTGTTTGGGTTTCAGCTTTCAGGACTTAGAGAGGCTCTGGTCATGCATACACGTGTATGACATTTTGTTTTCAATTGTTTTACTTGAAATTACTACAGGTCTAGCCCATATTGTTTTTGAGAAACAAGTCTAGCTGTATTTCTGTTTTGCTATCAAAAAGAGAACTTATCATTTGATATCTTCCACTTGGGGGGAATTGGCTTGGTTACTCTGGTTCACATGCAAAATCCTTTCAGGCTCTACTTAGAATGAATGACCTGATCTATACATCTTTGATTTGATTTTCACAGCTCTGGTTATTGGTCTCAGCCTCAGTCTTAGGCGAAGCTAATATTATACAATATACCAATTATAAAGAGTCCAGCAAGTAATTCTCCGTACTGTAAAGCTGATCTTCGTTGCACTTCATTGGATTGGATTGGATTGAAAGGCAAATTTGGGTTACAAGTTACATAATTTTATGAATTTGTCACAAGTACAAAGTACATTCTATCAACTGGGTGTATAGATGGATACACTTGCCCAGCCAAATTTTGTCCTTGAGATTCATGGTTTATATAATCTACAAAAGTACTCTAGAAAACCTGGCTGCTGCTCAACAGTTTATCATTTAAATTGTTCATCAAAGTGTAGCTATGGAAGGCAGTCTTGTTTACTATGGAGGAGAGATGATAGATCCAGCTGCAATGCTGATCCTTTAAGGTGCAGAAGATTACGGAGAAAAGTTTACATCGACCAAGTTAGTGAAGTTGACCAAGAATGGAGCTCAGAAAGCCATATCTTGGGTATTAGGAAAGAATTCAGAGGTCAAACGAGAATGAAGGAGCTGCCAAACTCTACAATATTATCTTCTGATGGGCCATTTGTTGAGAACAATGAAGAAACCAACAATGAAATCCTTCAGAAATTTTGCAGCAATGGGAAGTTAACAGATGCTTGCAGGCTCATAGAGATAATGGCACGTCATAATCAAATTCCCCACTTCCCTTCTTGCATCAACTTAATCCGTGGCCTTGCTAAAGTTGATCAAGTAGATAAAGCAACTAAAGTCTTGAAAATAATGGTCATGTCTGGTGGCATCCCAGATACTATTACATACAATATGATGATTGGGGCTCTCTGTAAGAGAGGACGATTAAGATCTGCCATTAATCTCTTGGAAGATATGAGCTTGAGTGGTACTCTCCCTGATGTAATAACATACAACACAATAATCCGTCGGATGTTTGATAATGGAAATTTTGAACAGGCTATTGGATTTTGGAAGGATCAGCTTAGAAAGGGATGCCCTCCTTATCTGATCACCTACACAGTTCTCATTGAACTTGTCTGCAAGCACTGTGGAACAGTACGAGCTATGGAAGTATTGGAAGATATGGAAATTGAAGGCTGTTATCCTGACATTGTTACCTACAATTCCCTGGTTAATTTTAATTGTAAACAGGGGAAGTATGAAGATGCAGCTTTGGTCATATATCATATTTTATCTCATGGATTAGAGCCCAATGCTATAACTTACAACACTTTTCTCCATTCTCTTGTTAGCCGTCGGTGTTGGGATGAAGTGGATGAGATCTTGGCAATTATGAGTAAAACTTCCTATCCTCCAACAGTCGTTACCTACAATATTTTGATAAATGGTTTATGTAAATATGGGCATATAGATCGTGCCATCAACTTCTTCTATCAAATGCTTTCACAAAGGTGTTCGCCTGACATAGTAACTTACAATACTCTCCTAGGAGCCATTTGTAAAGAGGGAATGATGGATGAGGCTATTCAACTACTAAACTATTTAAGTGGTAGTTCCTGTTCTCCTGGTTTGATTACGTATAATACCATTATTGATGGATTGGCTAAAAAGGGTTGTATGGAGAAAGCATTGAGATTGTACGGGGACATGGTAAGAAATAAAATTATTCCCGATGACATAACATATCGTTCTTTGCTTTGGGGGCTTTGCCGGTTTGATTTGGTTCAGGAAGCTGCAGAGATACTGAGAGAGATGAATAGGAGAGATCAACCAATTAGAGTAAGTTCTTACAGGTTGGTAATCCATGGATTATGTAAGAATAAGAAATTAGATATGGCAATACAAGTTCTAGAAATGATGATCACAAGTCGATGTAAACCAGATGAGACGATCTATTCCACAATAATTAAAGGTATAGCTGATGTTGGCATGGTTGAAGAGGCTAATAAGCTGCAAAAAATATTGGTAGATTGGAAGGTTTTTACATGAAGAATTCTGTTGGATTAAGCAGGCATGGACTTTCAATACCATTTCTCTGATTCTACATGGACATCGTTTTCATTGGAACTTGTACATATCATATTTTGTCAGTGATTCTCTTCTACTACTCTTTGCTTTCTCATTAGTGGTTGTTTTGATGGCTAATCTTGATATAACAATAATTTGGTAAGTGATAATCTAAATCTATTTCTTAATATTTTGCATGTATTTATCAGGGGCAATGCCTTGTTGATCATTACTGTTGGATAGCATTACTGAAAAAAGCCATTAACTGTGTGTGCTCAAGTATATATCATAGCCAGGATTTCATAACCATTTTTTTTTTGTAGAATACACTTAAAAGCTTAAAAGCTACAATTGAATTTCACGCCCAATAATACCTTATCAATAATGAGGTGAAAGGTTGGCAGTTGATTGATTTAAAAACTATCTTAATTGCATTTATTATTAGTTTAATAAAGAAGTACATTGAGTATGTATTTCCTGAAAAAAAAAAAAGACAAAATGAGCATCATGCTTCTAGCTTAACATTCTGATATCAGTTTCCAATGAGAAAGTATTTTGCATTTTTGACATCCCTGCGTATATATCATGAGGAAAAAGCAGGGGAAGAAGTGACAAAAGAAAATGAACATTCCACAACCAATTGCAGAGGTGTATCTAATGAGTATTTTGCATTTTTGACATCCCTGCGTCTATATCATGAGGAAAAAGCAGGGGAAGAAGTGACAAAAGAAAATGAACATTCCACAACCAATTGCAGAGGTGTATCTAATGACTTGATGGCAGTCGGGGGGTAGCGTGAATTATGTACCTTGATAAGGAAAGCACTAAACAGATCGCACCATCTAGGCTATAACAGACATCAGGTGACCATATATTCAAATGACTTCTGGAATTTAGTAAATGTTAAAGGTTTTAGTTTGTATAGTTTAAGAGGTTTGGAGTTTTTATCAGATAAGACCTAGGAGGAGGGAAATTAACTTTTGTCTTAGGATAGGGTGGGCAGATTTATGGAGTACTCTTGTTTTGATATAAGGTTACATCATCATAATTTTGTAATATATCTCTGCTATCTGTTTTTTATTGGTAGTGAATCCGGCTGAGCGATTTTCTGTTGCTTAAGCTTTGCAAAGCTAAGTTAATTTATTTGAAGGGAGTCTATTGGTGCCATGAGTTAATTTATTTGGTTCCTCCAGGATTTTCTGATGCTAGGGAAGTCATTTCAACCTTCCAACAAATCGCCGTCAAGAAGCTGCAAGGATTTTGATATTTTCTTTGCACTACCAGGGAATGACATGATGTTTAGAGCTGACTAGTCATAGTTGAGCAGCCTTATATCTCAATTTTGTATTAACGTGTTGCCTCTTGCAGTCTATAATAATCAATATTGGAGAGGATCTCAACATAACTCGTTAATGTTGTCATTTTTAGCTAGCTAAACTATTATACATTCAAAATTTTTGCTGTGTGACTTATTGTCAAAAGGTTTTAGGCAGAGTTTAGCTTTTAAATTTGACTCCTCTTTTGTTATGACATAATTTTCGTAGTGCGAGCCAATGGATTTTTCTTTCCCAATTTTGTTGCCAGCACTAGATACAGGAGATCAACTGTTCAATTTGAGCACAAATACCTTACAGAATTTGTAAACAACTCGGGATCTAAGCTGGAATTGACTTGAGCAACAACTTTAATGAGAATTTGTCACCAGGAGATAAAGCTTTTAGTTTAGAATCCATACAATCACTAAAAGTACCAAAAACATGCTTCTTTTTACCAATGATGGATGGCAATCCCAGGTAGCAACCTTGATTAACTACAGGTTTTACTTCCAACATGGTGAGAAAAGTGACAATATAGATTTATCATAATATGCGCTGGCTATAAATATTCCCAAAAAGTTTTATAGATGTAGAGTCTCCTCATTTTTAACTCTATCAAATATGATGCTATCATTAGCGCAGAGAAAATGCAAATGTCGTTGAACTCAGCAGAGCAGAAAAGAGAAGATAGACCTTCCAAACACAAGTGATTTGCCATTTAAGTTCACCAGACCGAAAAGAGAAGATAGACCTTCCGAGAAAACAAAAAATAAGAATAGCGACAAAGGGCATGACCTCTTAAAGGATATCTCTGTTAGACCAAATTTTCTAGCAAATGTTGCCCATTCAAGAGAATATGTAACACATTGTGTGATCAAGTCTATGAAGTGAAGCTTTTAGGCAAAGCAACATTTCTTTCCAAGCAAACCAATTTAACTCTATTAAATGACCTGATCTATTTCCCTAGACATCATGGAATGGGCATAGAAATGTGACTTCTTTTTTAATATTTATAACATTCTATTTTTATTTTCAAACTATAACTTTAAAATTTAACTATTAACACTTGCACATTTTTTATGTGCAAACATATTTTCATATAGCAAACAAATAGATCCTTAATATCCAGGAAATTGCCCACTGCACAACCCCACCTTCCAAACAGTTCTGGCATACATAACAACAAATTAAAATAAGAAAACTTGAGGGATAGTAACACTTAAAACTTATCCAAAGGTATGATCAGTAATGTCTTATAAAAAGTTTAGGTCTAGTTCTTTCTCATAAATTGTGAGAAACTTCCATGGAGTCCAAATGATCCCAAAGGAAGGACCTGTCAGGACATGCCTTATTCAGCAGAATCTTCAAGTTTCCTGAAGCTAGCTTCTCTTGGACTATCTGCTTGCACTTGGGGATTTGCTGAAGCACATTAAAAAAAATATGTAAGCGTCTCAATCAATATCTGAAACTGTGAAGGAGAAGTTGATTGAAAAGTTTAAATGAAGATTAGAAAAGAAGTTGAAGAAGGAATATGTTAAAACCTTTGACAGCCATAATATGTATGAAGCAGCATGTGAAGCTTGTGCTTGAAAATCCTCAAATTCACTGTCCGGAATGATTGAGCAAGAGTTTAAGAGAAGCAACTCGTTATCCATGAAGCAACGAATGTGGTTATCTGTGCTCGTTTGCTGTTTGATATGGGTAGACAAACCATGATCACATGCAAAATGTCTCATCCAATACAAGGAGAGGAAGCGTCGATGAAGCCATAATGCCTAGCAAATGCAAATACGGAAGATGAGAATAAATGAAACTACAAAAACCCATCCTAGGAATAAGTAAAATAAAACTCCAACAAATTTTGTGAAATCACATCAAACATGGCATCAATGATGTTTATTTTATGATAAAGCCAACATTGTTACATCTTCATTTGGTTCATCTCCATTATCTTCTCATTCTATTACCGAATCTTAATAACAAAGACAACTTTACTTATGTCTTCAATTTCACAATGATATGCTTGTATTTCTACTTATTAATGGACGAGTCACGAAAGAACTTACTTGAATTCATGACTTAGAATTAGAATATTATTATTTTTTAACTATGAATTTCATGTGTTTTTGTCATCGTCTGTGTTCAATATAATTTAATATTAAACCAAATCCAGCCTTAAAATTATAGGATAACTTAAAAAGGTCCTGGTAACCTAAGCATAATTATGTGAGTAACCTATTATTTTATTATTATCTAAGTTAATATTCCTTTAATGATTGTCTAGCATAACTTTGAGGTGATTTGGTTTCTTAATCATTAGTCAACGGATTACTAACTGAAGGAATATGTTTGTAATAAAATAAATTTGGAGGGTATTATTGTAATTATAAAAAGTAGAGGGTTATTTTTCATAAATTGGCCTATAATTATAACTAGCCAGTAAGGTCCATGACGAGTTGTGTGATCATAATTTTTTCTTGTTCTTTCATATCCTTATTCCCACAAATTAGCAACAGTTTTCCAAATAGCAGGTAAAAGAGTCAATTTCAGGCTCAAAAAGTGAAGAGTCAAAGAAATAGTGACACATATGTGGAGGTTCTCCCACCATTATATTTTTTATTTAGTACTGAATACAGGATGATTTATCATGGGGTTTGAAGCAGCTGACACTAGGAAGGGAATGAGTGTCAGTAGCTAGCAAGTTTCCATAGTTTTAACAAAGTTCACATTTATGTTATCATGCCATGCAGAATCAAGACCTTCATTCCCTCGACCTTTTTTTCAGAAGACAACAAGGAAAAAAAAAACACATACCTCTCTTCCTACATAATGCTTTATCAATTCCTCATTCCAGTCTATTTCCTTCTGTAAACACACATAAGGACATTGAAAGAATCAAATAATCCATAATTAGAGACAAGGTATGTTAGTTCTAGCAGAAAACAGGTGCAATTACCATATAAAAAATGTAGACATTCCTTCCAATAGCCTATAATCCATATTTGTCAACAGTCTTTGAATCAATTTCAATCACTTCTCAATCAAGTTCCAACATTTCAATTCATTCTCATTCAAGTCCTTTAACCAACAAATAGTTACTCAACATCAACAAATATCACATGACTATCACGTAAATGACACAAGAAATGAGCTCCTTATGTGGCATTTGAAAGTCAAGGCTTCCTTTTTTCCTATCACTTATGAAAGACGGCAATAGCCAATGCTTGTGACTTATGTGAGAGAAAAAAAATTGAACTGCAAAATGTCAAAGATATAGACCTTCCAGACTTGATAAGTTTCAGAGATGTAGCCAGAAGATTCATCTCCTTGTTCATTGAAATAATGCTCCAAAATCTTGAGCATTAGCAGCTGCAGATAAATTCAAAGCCAGACAGGGAGAGATGAGTAAGTTTCAGCACATTTTAAAAAGTTCATGTAGAATCTACTGTGCCTTAGTAATTAGCAGTTCTACAGTTGAAGAAGAAATATGAAGAAAATAGACAGCTCAAATTCTGTTCCCTTTTTACTATATAACAGAAGAAATTTTGGTCCCTTTTTTCAATAAAAGAAGAATCATCTACTTTAGAGATCCAAAAAATTATAGCCCTTCCACCTATCCCAACTTGTGGCACAATTGAAACAACTATCAGTTAGGAACTAATACTTGTCAGGCAAAAAGTTAACACAACCAAATAATAGAAACGAAAGGTTCAGTTATCACAGTCCTAGATCGATTATTTCAGTCAATAATAGGTCCTGACCAGGCAGCACCACCAATGAAAACAAAAAAATAAATAAACAAATAAATGGTCCAAATGTAGGGCTGCAGATATCGGGAAATACAATATAAATTCATATAACTCAAATAACTACAACTTGCTGCTGATAAAAAGGTGATGCAGAACTGAGAATAAACTAAAGTGGAATGTTTTGCATTGAAAAATTAAGGATAATGTAATTTAGTAATTTTACGTTTTTAGATTATCTAGGTTATATTAGTTAGATTTAGGAGATATTTAGTTTGATTAAGATTTAGAAACTTTTGATTCTTTCTTTATTATTTGGATATTATCCCTATCACAGCTTCACATAAAGGACACTGTCTGAGAGAATAGGCAGTTTAGATTGAAACTTAAAATATACAGTTAATAAAGTAGTTTTTCATCACTAGTTTGTTCTTCCTTAAGTTCTTCCATGTTCTACGTCTTTTCCTATCTCTCTGTTATCACTTTGCTCTCCCCCTCTTGGATTTCTTTCCCTTCCCACTTTTTTGTCATTTCTTTCCCTTCCCACTTTTTTGTCATTTCTTTCCCTTAATCCTCCACATACTTGTGTTTCTCTTCCCAAGTTCCTCTATTATATTTATCCCACATCAAAAGGATGCAACTTTGGGCATGTTTTTACCAAATTTTCATTCCTTATTTGTTTGGAAAGATAACATTTTTCTTCGTATTATACTCTAAGTACAGTAAAGAGACTCACTCTGCGATAGTGGAAGCAAGAATTGTCTGCAATGCGCAATCCCGCCCAATGTCTAGATTTATTTAACTCATGAAGCAACTGAAAGCACACATGTAAACTGTAAAGTTCAGAAGAATACATAAAATAACTCAAGAATCATACTTTTCAAGTAGCATGTCTGTGAAAGAAAAAAAGACCGACTAAAAAGAAAAAAAGAAAGCAACATGTTTTAGGACTGGGAAAATAAATAGGGTGTAAAATTTGAGAATGTAAAAGCCATCCCTCTCTCCTTAATGGTGAGTATCTTAATTTACCCAGACAGAACGTAAAACAATCTTAGGGCAATTAGATTGTTTGAATAGTCTAAGACTCTACCTGTTCCCTTGTCATGTAAGAAACTAGCCAGCAACGGTGATTCCATGCACGATAATTCATTTTTGATCTCTGCAAAGGAGAGGCAGAAACCTTATCAAGACTGCTCCTCTATGTAATGTAGTTCTGATAATGTAACTTATCAAGTCCAAAAAAGCACATTTATTAATAAGATTACAAGAACAGTGTCCTATAGTGTTGTGAAGTGTAAAACTCATCAAAAAGATTGGGTGCATCCATAACCTTGTAACCATCTACCATTCATTTGTATAGCTAAAGAACATTGCAATGGCTAGATCGTATGCAACCTAATTCAACAACCTGACCTTCATTTCCTTCAATTATAAAAGAACAAGCAGGTCCTTATGTCACAATTGCTCTCTGAAAAAGTCAAACACTCTGCAAAACCAGTAGTCATTGTTGAATCAAAAGCTACTTATTGGTGCCATAATAGAGGCATCTAACACTATTGGGGATGACGGAAATAGCAATGACCAATGAAAAAGGTGACAAAGGCAGAAGAAAGGCTACGGTAACAGCTGTATTTACAGACTAAAATGCTTTTGTTAAAAATTTTTTAAATAACAAAAACAAGCTAGGAGTTTTTGGTTTAATGTCTGACTTAAACGGAGAAAAATAAATCTGGAATTTAACAATTTCTCCTAACATCAAGAGATGGTGAGAAAAAATTGATAACAAGAAGTTGGTCAACACTAACCGTAGTGTGACATTACCATTTTTGTTGCAAAGTTTTGTTCATCGGTTACCCAGGTTATTGTTAAAAAATAACACCAATTATAGGTTATTAAAATGCAATAAATCCAAGAATAAAGTAATATATTCATAGCCAAATATAAAGTATAAAATTTTAAATTGAATTTACACCTCTGCCATTTTTTCCACTAGCTCAGATTCTTTGCGTAAAACCTCATGCATACTCAGACATTTTCCAGCAATCATCTTGATCACCCACCGCCTGCCAATAATCAATGAGGTGTGTCTATTAGATCTTAAACAAGTAAGAATAGCAAAAGAATGGAGGGTGAAAGGATATCTTAGAGAAGATAATACAAGATCGCATATCCATGTGGACAATGAACAGTTTTAAACATCATATATCGAGCAACAACTGCTGGTTAACAAAATTAATACATTGTCCATACAGAGTCAAAACAGATCCTCCTTGTCTCATCAAAACAGATCCTCCTTGTCTCACCAACGGAAGCCATAAGACCAAAAATAACAAATATGTATTGGTAGCTTATTCATCTAAAAGAAAAAAGCATTAGCATGATCTATTACCTATGACACCAAGCTTGCTCACTTTTAGGTGAATATGAAAGGACAAGCGCTGATAATGCAAGTTCATCCATAAACACCGAAAAGTGCTCCTTCCTTGACACAAGTAGCTTCCTATGTCAAGCATAGAAGAATTGGGTGTCATAATCAAAATAAGAATTGAAAGCTTCACAATTAACCATATTCCAACAAATGATTTTAGATATACGAAGAAAAATGAATATGAGCAGGGTAATAAGCAATTATGGACAACATGAAAACAAAAAGTAGAGAAAACCTGGCATTCCATGCAGTACCAAAATCGGAGCTTAACAACAAAAGAGCCTTGCTATGCTTCATGACTTCCCTTTCAAGAGTGTCACAAAAAGATGAAATGTGACGAACAATATTCTCATCCCCAGATTCAACAGAGGATTTTCTGGGTGTCTCATATTGTCTAAGGGCACACATAAAAGCATTTCTGGCCACCTTATACAACGGAAGAAGAATCTCGGTTGAAATTCCCAATTTATGATCTCTGTGCCAAAAATTTGCGATCTCATCCGCACTAGAAGTCCCATCCTCTAGTTGCAGTTCACAACCATCAGATGACCTAAGAGAAATTCCTGCCTCTTTATTCAGTGTGGCAAACTGTGAAGAGTGAATGAATCCAACTTCATCACTACATTCAAGGACAATCAACATGAAAAGGTTACAATGAGACTATTATAAATGCAAAGGTGGCACGACCTAAAACAAAAAACGAATAAGAATCTGATGCACTAAGAAGATGTTTGCTTTACCTTATTTTCTACGAGCTTATAAACTCTTCAACAACTTATACACAATGTTACTGAAATATTTGGATGACATAAGCTTCTAAGTTGTATTAAGTTTTATTCACATATGTGAAAAAGATATAGTTTATTAGCAGTCAATTCTATCCAAACAATAAAAAATGATATCCTTAAAAGTAGGAGTAAAACAGATTATATAGGGATATAATTAAATTGTTAAGGGCAGCTTTAGCTGTTTACTTGATTAAGACCAGTGTTGTTGAGAGCTACAAGCTCTCTAAACAACTTTCTCATAACATTGTTACAAGAGATTAAAAGATGTCTAATTCATAACCTCTTGTTGTATACCAAACGCATAAGAAAAACCTAGAATGTCAATAGAAAGCTTATAATCTCTTATTGACCAGAAAACAAGTTAAGCTTATAAGATCCGAAAGTTATGGCAGAATAATGGAAAATACTTTATAAAGTATGATAAACATAACCAAGACATGCAGAAAATGCTACACTATCCAAAATTATTTGTGTGAAACAGTAATCTGTTAACCATATGCATGGCAAGCAGAAATGCAAGTTAGGCATACATTAAGCATTAAAAGTCTACCAGGCAGACACAAATAAGTACCAAACCAAATACACATTTAAGTTTATACAAAGGGCAATCATACTCTACTTGAATCACAAAGTCTATAATTTTCAAAAATAACCTTTGACATAAAACTGCCCTTTGATTTTAGCTACGTTAACTTACATTGACGGTGACCCATCTATGTGTTCAAAATTTTCAAGAAAAGGTGTACGGAGTTCCATATGGAGAAGATGAGAGAGAATAAAAAAATTGTAGTTAATTACAATAAAAAAAATGGCAGCTAGACCTTTTAGGGGAAAAAAAAAGATAGCTCTCTGACATCTTGAAACCTTAATTGATAGCAAACTATGAAAAGAAAATTAGAACACAGGTTCGCATTATTTTCAAAAACAAAAAAAGAACACAGGTTCTTGTTCATTATTTTCTCAAAAGTCAAATGCAAGCTATCCATGGAAGAAAGCAGCTAATTTAGAGACAGTTTAGCTTATCTTCGAGCTTATAAGCTTTTTAATAACATAAAAACTATTAATTTTTTAAAAAGTTTATACGATTGAATTACTTTACTTACATGTTCTTCCAAGTTTCATTGCATTGTTTATATGTTTGATTAAAAAATATAGTTTGATAAACAGTTTCTTGACAGAAAAAAAGAACACTTAAATAAGCAAGGCACCAAAGGGGTGCTGCCCAATTACAAAATAGGAATTTACAAATATCATGGAGAAGTAACCTCTCTCAGAGTAGCCTCCTTATTTATTTTTAACCAAACAAAATACATTAGGGAACCGTTAATACATAGCACCTCCATCACTCCAATCATCTTCTCAAAAACTTACCCTGTCCCATTGCCTACCCTCATTCTGATATACTGATAAAACAAAACCAATCTCAGGCTAATTTTCTTTCATTAACCTAAACCATGAGAAACCCTAGACAATATGTGGCCCTCCAGCCTCCAACCCCCATCTTCAAGACCATACTTGGTGTTAATCACCTTCCATAAAGAAAAAAGGTTCAACTTTCATATGTTGTCAAAGCCGTTTCCCAGTGATGCTCTTTAAAAGCAAACAAAAGATCTTATACCAAGTCTAACCACTATTAAAGCAGCTTGATCATGTAACCTGCCACCAAGTAGAACCTCCTATGCTCCTTAAAATCAGCCTAAATAAATGACTCAAGCTTTTTCAAACTAGCCAAACAAGGACTAGGGAGACGAAATAGACAGGAGGATTATATGATGAACACTTGAGAATAGTGAGTTTGTCCTCCTTGATAGAAAACCAAGTTTTCACCTTGCCAATCTTTTCTCAACTTTAGGCACCACCAACTATCAAGTAGCTTTATCTTTGAACTTGACACCCATAGACAACCCACAAATACTTTAAAGGCAAGGTGGACACCTTAAACCCCATATATGAGTAAATCTCCACCCTTTTTTCATTTTCTTTGAAAATAAAATATTAAATATATCCAAAAGCACCAATTAGTTGCAATAAAAAAATTTTTACAAACCTTCAATGTCTATTAGGTCCTCCAGACCTCGCTAGAATAAAGTGTGCAATCTCTTATAAAAAAAGCTTAGCATCTAGAACTAAGAATGATGCACAACCTAGGATCAACAATGCAATTCAAAACCCACACATGCAAAATTAACTCCAAAAACTTAACCCTTAGATAAACCTCCCTACTTAACCCACAATTAACCTGTGATTGGAAGTAAGGATGATAGGGATAAATGAATTAATTAGAACGCTACAAGAATTTTTAAATCTGTCAAAATTAAATTCAACGCCCACAAGGGCCCTTTTATTCCTCTTTTTCCAGGTGACCTAAAAGGTAACCAGGGGGATAAACCTAAACCTCTTATCCCCATGAATGCCTCTCCAAGCATAAAGCTCCTCCTTCATAGATCCTGTTATGACCCAATTCAACCTCAAATAAATCACAACCATAATTCCACAGCTAGTGCACAAATGAACACCAAAAAAGAATGTGATACAGGATTCTGCATCTCTCTTATACAAGTGGCATCAATTCACTAGAATTTTTTCTGTCTTCATAAAGTTGTCTAAAGTTAGAATGTATTCCCTAACAACCTCCGTCTCAAGTGAAAAAGGTTATCCTTTGGGGTTGTCTTTACTTTCTAAATCAGCCTAACAGGAAATCATCCACCTCCGAATGCTACTAGTTAGATTACCATAATAATACTTCACTCAAGGACCCTAAGCCATTTGTCTTCAATCTAAACGAACAAGAACCCCCATTTGATCCCACCATTCTCCAAACATAAGGGAAAATTATTTGAGAAAGCACAAGGGAGAGTTTCTATACCAGCTAAGGAACCTAAGAATCAAAATAAGTAAATATAAGAAAGTGATCAGTTCTTGAAAAACTAAGCATTTCCTGCAAGTTCCAAGTGCATCATCCTCTAAATAAAGGAAGATCAATGAGATTAAATTTGTCTAAAAAAACCATTGAATTCCTTAAAACAAGGATGAGAGAAATTCTTCTGGATCCCTCATGAGCATAATAAACTATATTAAAATCTCCACCAATTAACCATAGAAGATCTCACATTCTCTAGATATCCTCAAGGCCATTCCACAAAGGGACAGTTCTCAAGCCCTCTCTCCTGTACCATAAACCCTAGAGAACACCCAACAACAACCCAAGGCCAACATTTCAAAAAATATGAAACTAAAACTCTCTCCTACACTAATCCATGAAATCCAACACATTTTCATTCCACAAAACAAAAGATGTTGCTTGAAGTTGCATGTAAGGAAGATTCTTCGACCAAATCTTAACCTGACAAACACCATGCACAAAAATTGTTGAAAATAAAGTATTATAGTTGTTACATCAGAAATACTTACTTTTTAGTTTAAAAAATATCGCACCAAGGTTGACCAAATCTCTTTGATCTGGTCTCATTTAAATCAGTTATTTATTCTGGAAAATCTTCTCACTAATTAGGAAGATTTTTTGTGTGTGTAAATATGGTAACTTTATATTATAAATACAAATCTTGTGTCATTATCAAAGGCAATGAAAAATACATAATTTTCATTCTTATGAAACAATTGGAGAAAACTCCAACCTTATGTCTTAAAAGTACATCACATCTGATTTGACAAACAACTCCAACAAACTAGAAATCATTCAAGTCCCTCGTATCGTGAGACATAATCTTGGGTAACATGGTGACTTAATAACTAGACTACTCTTACCATTCTTCTTGGTACAGCCCCCCTATCACAGTTCATGGATCTAGAAAGCCTTTTAAGCTCCCTATGCCTATCTGCACTTCGTTTCTTTTTCCCCTATGACTTAGTTTCAATACCCAACTTTAACCCCTCACTCACATCAATAGCTTGAAATAAACTGATAGCATGCTCCTAAAAACCATCAAAATTAACTCCTGACAATGATATTATTCAAGACCTAATCAAAGGCATAACACTTAATTTACTCACCTACACTAACATTTCATCTCCCTGATCCTCTCCATTCAAACAACATGGCCTTGGAACCCTGTCTTCTGCACAACTCCCAAAAGGTAAGTTGTCTCCTCTATCCAGGAGAGTAAGAGGTAAAGAACAAGAAAAGGTAATTCAAGCCACCAAGAGGAGGCCAATATTGGAACGGAGGCTCGATCTACCTTGAGAGAAAGGCGAATATCGCATGAGAGAACTCTTTGAACACATTGTTGCATAAGAACGAAAGTCAGAGTTTCCTTTTTAGAGTAGGCACAGTATTTCATTAGTGTCAAATAATAAAAATTCAAAGGAAGATAAAAGTACCTCTAATCTAAGAACCTGGACTTGTCCTTAAATGATAGACCTCTAACAATCTCATTCATGCTTCGGTAATAGCTTTCTTTTCTCTGGATTTGGGCCTCTCCTCCTTAACACATTTACCTCTTTCAGCATATGAAGCTTCCTTCTTGCTAGATTTTAGTTGACCGGAAATAGGCCCAATCTACACCCATCTGGAAAAGGGGTGATTGAAAATTAAAAAGGGCCCTACCTAATTGATGATTAGATCCCTTCTTTGCACTCGGAATGCTTATCATCTCTATAAAAGATCAATCTTAGCTCTAAAGATGATTGTCAGTGACACATTGATATGCATAGTGCTCTTTGCAAGAGAGATAGGAAGCTTTAAACCTCATCAAGAAAAGATCTCAGAAATTGGCCCAAGAAGAACATCGGGTAACCACGAAGCTGAATTAGGGGCTCACAAATAAAGCAAGAAGTATCCCAACCTTGCCTAAGACTTCACTAAAGGCTCCAAAAGAGACCAACAACCATCTCCACTACGACTTTCAAGAAGTAGATCCTTTTATGCTTCTCCAATATGCTCAATGAACCAAATACTTGCCTCCCTAATTCGAGCCTAAGGCCATCCATAGAGCAAGACTTGCTCTGTTTGCATTTCTCACTCTTGAATTCTAACATTTCTTCCAGTAAAACTCAAAGCGGGTGTTAAAGAACCAATCCGTTTCAGAACCCACATGATAATCGAGGATATGGTGCAAAGTAGTCAATCCTATGCTAGTCCGTATCTTGATATTTTGCTTCAAGGTGGCATATGCCTAAAGTTGTAAACTTCACTATACACCATTTAGATGTATTATCTATATAAAGAAATCTAGACTATCTAAATTAAATATAAGGAAGATGATGTTTTCAGAATAAACTATGGCAAGATATTTATATATGAAAATCAAACAGTTTAATCAAGTTATGTCATATAAAAGTTAATTTTAACTTTTAACTTTCCGGATATATCAGTTAATACGGGTATTTGGGCCAATAAGCTGGGTCTGCGACTATTGACCAGAGTTCACAAGTTGTGACTAGTATTTGATCCAATTTGAATTTTTGTATATACCAAACTGATATTAGGCTGATATAGTAGACTGACAGGTAGGATCAGAGATCCTCAGATTGTCAACAACTCCTCATGAGTCATGTTGAAGAATTTCCTTCCAATAACCAAGAATCTTCATTGAGGAAAGACTGGCATGAGAAGAAGGAGAAATGAACCAGGAGAAATTTTCTTTAAACCCACAAAGCCTCTATTTCTAAAATTTTAGAGGCATCGGCAAAATATGTAGCTTACTGTTCTTAGTTATATTACAATTAAAAATAAAAAAGAACAATTTTATAATTCTTAAAATATTCAAAGCTTGAAACTAGAATCTTCAAAAATTGTTGAAGTTTATTACAGAAATTTATTTGGTCATGGTCTGTTTGATTTTTTCAGCGATTATAAGATCTCTAAAAATATTATCCACCACAAGCATTCTAAAAAGATTACTATAAGAGCTTATAAGGTGTTCAATAATTGCCAAACATTTTCCAAATCTGAAAAACTGCTAAAACAGTTATAGATTCGCCTTGACTAAATTTTAAGTTGAGCTAAAGACTCTCTTAGCTGCTACCCCCCACAACTTCACATGATATGATAAACTGATCAGACTCCTGGGCTGACAAAATTTTGTAATTGTTTCAACATTGCTATACAGATATTAAAAAAAAACATGCATTATACTTACATATAATCATCAGATTCTATGATACACTCGAATTGATTCAACAAATCAATGGCCTTCTCTTTAAAGCTTGAGCCTTGGCTCATCTCCTTTCAGCACCTTTATTCTTGCTCATAAAAGAGCTTCAAGATTCTTACAGTTGTTCTAAACCCTTATGCTTTTGCAGTTGCTTTCCTTTCCTTGAAAATGCAAGAGAGACTGAAGAAAATTAAACAAAAAGAAAAGAAAAACCATATCCAATTTAAGTGCTGCATCAAGTTTCAGTTTGGTCCCTCAATTTTAAGATTGCATCTATTTTTGTCTTTGAGGGAGGGAGAAGAGAGGAAGAAACATCCATCCTTTCAGGCTACCTAATTAGTTAGAATGCACCATATGGTAAACACATGAACATGAGAGACCAGACATCTCTACCTTCTCTGCCTTCTAGGGAACAAGCTTACAGCATGCTTGGGTCTACAATTTCAGACTTCCTGATGACAATATATGGTATTTCATTTAAATGAAATATTTAGCATTTAAACCAAGCTATTGGGCATGCTATAAACTGATTTACCATGATGTGACATTATTGGTAAAGCAGATTCATTCCAAATATTTATCACAAAATTAACTTTGCAGTCATATTAGACTGCTGACAAGCAGTTTGCGGGCATTCCTAAACATAGTTTCAAATCAAAAGAGGAGAAAGAAAACCAAAAATGCAAACCCTGTCACGTTTCAGGCATCCATTGTGTGATTCAAGGATTTACATCCAAATTGTTACATTGCCTCAATGTTTTCACATAAATGACATGTAATTCGGTTGTACAAATATTAAATGACAGACAACGAGATGGAAATCCCATAAAACCAATACTACCTCACGTAAATTCCAATAAGCAGGTAGCAAGCAACCCCATATCGTATTTCAAATTGAAAGAAACGAGATATTTTAGCAAATACGATTAGCTCTCAAGCATCAACTCAAAAAAATTTCACCCTCCAAATCACGACTTCATATTGCGCTAAATTTTTCAACAAAAATTGCGTTACGACAAAGTCGAAGCAGCCTGACCTGCATACATAAATCTGCTCAAAGAGAGTTTCGAGTTCAAATTTCTGCACGGCGGTCCTCCAACTTCTGCAAACTTTCTCCGCTCCTCCCGGATCAAATTTCTCTCAAATATCGTCTTTCTCCTTAACTTCCTTTTCTCTTTGATTTTTCGTCTTCTAAACCTACTCTAGTCTCTGCCTCGATTCCTCTGCTTCCTCAGAGTCGTAGATGCGGGGCAACTTGCTCTCCTCTGAGCATTTATTCTTTCCTTATTCTAGCAAGCCGTTGAAGGCTTCACTCTCCATTTCCCTCAAATCATGTTTTAAGGCATTCTTCTGATCTGATGTGAGTGAGGAAATGAAAATACTTTTATATTTAAAAAATAAGTAGTTTTATATTATTTTATGGATTTATTTATAATAAAATAATATTTATACTAAAAATATGTTGTTATGCATATAATATAATTTTAAAGTAAATATTTTATAATTATATAAAATTTATTTCATATAAATATAGGTAAAGGATTTTTTAATAAACATGTAAGATAATTATATAGCCTGTTTTTGTATAAATAAAGTGTAATGAGATAGATAAGTCATCAAAACTTTATATAATATATATTTAAAATTTATTTGTCACACGTTTTATAGTTAACTAAAAATTAAATTTTAATTTTGTATCTAAAAGTTTTAAATAAATAGTTATTATATATATTATTATTATTTAATTTTATTATTTAAAATTTAAAATATTAACAATAAATATTTTATTTTGATAAATTACAACTATGATCCAGGTAGAATTTAGACGAGTGAATAATTTACAGAAGACCACCCAACACACATACCATTCACATTTATACATGATGACCAAATGGAGCCCAACTCGAGCATGCACCGCGCAACCTCGTGGAAACAAAAATTAGTTTTTAGATCAATTCCTGCTGAATAATCTATTAATTTAATCTCTCTCTCAACGGCTGAAGATGATGAAGAGGACGAGGGCCACGATGAGTTTTGTCCAACAATTTACTTAACTGTATAAGAAAAAGTAAACTTGCGAAAAATTTTAGGGTATAACATATGTGATTAAACATTTAGTCAAGAAAAAATAAAATTGTAAAAATGTCGGAGTATAATACTTTATAATTAAATTTTTAGATAATAAAATTAATTTCAAATATATCTTGAGCTGTTCGTAAAGCAACAGTAAAATAAATCGGAGATTATTTAAGTTATCAATATTAGAAACAATATTTTTTTAGCAAGGCTCATGAAGGAAATTGATTATGAGTTTGCTTTAACAAGTGGACCATGGATGATATTGGGGCACGATATTATAGTAAGATAAATAGTGTCATAACTTTATACTGCTGCAATTAATAAGGTGACAGTTTAACTTCAGTTTTTAAGTCTGTTAATTTAATATTTCAATGTATAGTTATTAAAGAAAAAAAAAATAAGCATGCACTCGAACAAGAATCCTTTATACATATACCACTTTAATTACTATATGCACGATTGACAATAATTTATTTGAATCTAATATGTTTACCCGCTATTTTTTAAATTTAATTTACGTTAAGAAACCATTTGAATTTAATATGAAAGATTACATATCATTTTTTGTTGTAGTATCTGTAGTCATGAAATTCCAGAATGTCCATCAACTAAAACTTATGCTCTTGCATGATCGAATAACAACTTATAGATTCAAGTAAAACGAGATCATGATAAAAAAAAAAGATCAGTATGATCCCTGGATGTTTGTCCAAAAAATTAATGAACAAAAACTAGAAATTACTTATAACATCTTCAAAAAAAATATATATACTATTTTTAAAAGGAAGTTGGTGATCGAAATAAACTTCAATTGTTGGTATTAAAAATTGTCGTTGGTATTAGTTACCTCATTTATTTATATTAGGTTAGAATTAAGTTAGTAATGTTTTAAAATATTTAAAATTATATTTTTATTTTAATTTTGTGTAAATATTATTATTAATTATAGTTATTAATCAAATAGTGAATGAGCTTATACTTTTTGTATATCAAATCAAATGAGTTAATATATTTAATTAATATTTAGAACAATAAAAAAATTAAAATATTTTTTCAAACTCCTTTTTTTGGAATTAACTAAATATATTCGAATAAAATTAAAATATTCATAAAATTTATTATTAGTTAGTATACCATGATTGAAATATTTTTTATTTTTTTATAAAAT